AGAGAGAAAGCTAAATACTGGGAGGGGGAAGGGGGAGGATGTTCAGTAAAATCTTTTGGGTATTGCTACCTCAGCTGATTTTATTTTCTTATTTTATTTTAGACTTAAATACTAAAATACATAACAAGAAAAGAAAAAGAAACATAAAATGAGAAAAGAAAAAACACTTGCATAGCAGAACATAAGGAGGATTCAAAATATATAGCAATAAATTTCCATTTCTAGAAAGCCAATATAATAAATACTACACATTGTGTTGAAAGCTGTCCATCTTTGCTTCCTTGTAAGTTTTCTTTTGTTCTCTGTTTTCCCCTTTTAATTTGCTCTTTTCCCCCTTCCTCCCCACCCTCCAGAAGGTTACAATTAAGCGTGGCTATATACACATATACATATATACATATGTGCATATATAAACATACATTCCCTAAGCTGATTATTTAAGGGAAAAAAAAAACCCGGGGATTCTGAGATGGATATGAAAATTGAATGCATTTCAGAAGTGGAGAAAGCCTTTGAAAGGTCATGCTGATAGAAGATGGAATTTGAAATTCAGGTGAAGGCCAATTTGGATGGAAAATGGAACATATGAAGGAAAATAAGATGAAATAAGTCTGTGAAGGTTTTCCTTATTTCTCTCTCACTCTGCCCCCCACTGCCATTTTCAGTCCTCTCTCAAATTACATGGTGTTTTCTCATCTATGAATTGTGTAAATCAATATGACATGGGGAGAACTCAATACAATGTATTGAGTTCCTTGAGAGCAAGGCACTTTAAAATGTTTTTGTCTTCCTTGGGCTTAATAGTGCTTGGCACAGAGTGAGAAGTCAATATGCTGATTTCTTTTAATTGAATATATTAGTGGGAATGATTTTTAGGTTATAAATTTGCCATCAGTATGCCTTTTATATTTTTTTTCTTCAAAGAGAAGACACGTTAAGCTTCCATATTTCTTTTTCTAATCCTAAAAGAAAAATCTTTTGGTAAAAAACAAAACAAAAAAAAACTAAAAATTCTGCTTATTAATATAGGAAAAACATTGAAGACTGGGCAATGGATAATGAAGAATACCCCTGGACACAAAAATCAATCCAAGAAGAAGGGAATTGGTCTTCCAGCTTGACTCCATCAAAAATGGCCCCTAGTGAGCAATATTTCTAAACCAAACGTGTCACCCTTCTATTCCCTCCACTCCCCCATCTCCATCCCCCCTCCAAAAAAAAACCCAAAACATTTAGAGGTATGCTTACTTACCTCTAGGAATTAAAAGTTATAAATCAATCATACTTTTAAAAACTCAAAAGAAACAAAAACATGGCTTTTGTACAATGTTCTTGCCCTTCCCTTCACCCAACAATCTCTAAAGTTTACACGCTATTTGGGATTTCACCAGTTTCTGTTTATAGGAGAATAGACTGAAAGCCAACCAGGAAAGGGGTGATGATGCTGTTCTTAGGATATGAGAGGCCAGCCTCCTCAAATGGTCATAAGCATTCCTCACCAGGTAGTTCTTGTGATCCACAGTGTTCCACACTGACAGTGTTGAAGTTACTCCCTTGTGTTTTTTTTTTCCCCCCGTGGTCTACCTTGATTAAGATGACTATCATTGCTCCCAAAAGAATGGCCACCATTACTGCCAGCAGCACAGCCAAGACCAAGGCTTTGATGGAAAGTGACATGAAAGGATCAGATGAATTATGGGTATGATTGCCAAAACATTTCATGACTTTTTTTTTGCCTTGACACTCAGGAGATGAAATGAGCAGGGGTGTTCTTAGCATCAGATAACACAGGTGTTAACAGCATGGGAAAGCTGCTTGGCAAGAGCCAGTAACTGCTTTGGCTACACAATATTCTTCATAACTGAAATAATTGTTAGAAATTTCTTCAGAATCCTGCTTTTTGGGAGTCTGTCATCCTTCCCTGGTGTGGAGGAAGGAATATGATATGCCTTCATGAAGGCGTGGACTGCCATTTCCTCCAACCTGTTATACCCTTTTAAAGATTGTCCCTGATACTTGAAAGGCATTAGTTTTTTACCACCACCTCTTGGAATCCCTGGCTATTTTGTAGATGTGTGACTTTTTAAAAAAAGATATATATGTATATCTATACGTATAATTACACGCATTTCTAATCTCCTCTCCCTCCCATTAAATAGCATCAACAACAACCAGGCAATAATTCCTTCATCATAACTGCATTATTCAGCAAAGCAAATTTTCTCATAGGTCATGCCTAAAAATATACGTACTGAATGTCTCTTTCTGCATTACAAGTCCATCACAACTCTGATAAGAAGTGAGATGTGTTCTTTATCTTTAGGCTTTTGGGTGTGTGACCCGTCATTCCACTGATGAGAATTTTCAGGTTTTTCAAAGTTGTTTTCTCAATAATGTTGATATGCGGATTGTACTCCTAGTTCTTCTCCCATTGCTCTGTATCATTTCATTGAGATCTTCAGTTTCCTCTGAAACAAGCCATTTTTTGTTATTTTTTTGTTGTTATTTCTCATGATATGATATTTACTCCATTACATTCAAAAACTATAATTTGCCTGCCCATTCCTCAACAGGAAGATAGTCCTTAGTTATCAATTTGGAGCTGTAATGAAAAGAGCTGCTATAAATGCTTTTGTATCTATGCGTCCATTTCCTCTTTCTTTGATTTTTTGGGGGGGTGGGTATAGGCTTAGTAGTGATATTACTGGCTTAAAGGTTATACACAGTTTAGTAACTTTCGGGATATCACTCCAATTGCTTTCCAGAATGGCTGGACCAATTCCTAGCTCCCTCAGTAGTGCGATAGGATGCTTGTTTTCTTCTTGGGTCCTTTTTTTGCCATTCTGATAGGTGTGAAGCAGAGTTGCCCAGAATGGCTTTAATTTGCACTTCTCTAGTTATTTAGATAATTTTTCTGTATGGTTATTGATAGCCACTTTGTAAATTACCTGTTTGTGTTGTTTGTTTACCTATTGGGGAAAAGGAAGAAGAAAAAGTGGAAGGAAGATACCTGATATGGGGTACGGTAGAGAAGTCAGATAAACCTCTAAGTAGTGTCCCCCGTTGGGAGTTGAGACATCTATGCTAAGCCCCCTCCTTAGATGGAGGTTTTGGAGGCCAGGCGGAGGGGCAGAGGGTAGGGATGAGGTGTGAGTAACAAGGCTGCTTTGGATCTTGCAGGATGTTACTGTTCAGTCATTTTCAGTCGTGTTTGACTGTGACCCTATGTGGGGTTTTCTTGGCAGAGATATTGTAGTGGTTAGCCATTTCCCATACCGGTTTTACAGATGAGGAGACTGAGGCAAACAAGGTTAGCACACAGCTAGTAAACATTTGAGGCCAGATTTGAAGTCAGGAAGATGAGTCTTCTTGACTTCTGGCCCAACACTCTATCCACCGCACCACCCGGCCGCCCTAGGCGGCAGGAGGATGAGGACCCAACGGTGAGCGTCTCAGGGAAATCCCCAAGCCAGGTGGGAAATGAGGAACATTCTAATGGAGGGGGGATAGAAGGGTCTCCTCAGGACCCTAACGTTGAAGGGCCTTGTCTTCAAGAAAAGACAACGAGCCTCGGAGAGGCTTTGTTATGTTTTCACAGGATTAAAAGAAGAAAGGAACGGAAGGGAAGACACTACATTAGGGAGAAGGAAACAGAAAGGGCCGGGGAGCTTGTCTCATCATTGGGCTGCCCGGTAGCAATCTACATAGACACGGAGAAGTGGGAGGAGATGCCTGGGATCTGCCTCATCTGAACAGGCCTGGGGGGGGGGGGGGGGGGGGGGGGGGGGCTCAAACACACATAGACATATAAAGTTTGGGGGTAGAGCATTTAACGCCACGGAGAAAGGGGGAGGCTTAGCTTCAGGGAGGAATGAGTTCTAAGCAAAACAAACCCCGAACCTGGAGTGGGGAGTCGGGATTTAAAAGGAAAGAAAGGCTAGGAGCCTGGGGTTCTGCTCTGGATGGGGAAAGGAGAAGGGCGAGGAAACACTACACCCTGCAGCCCTCTCCCCTGGAAGGTCCCTCTGCCCGGGGGGCCCCGGGCCACGTTCACTCTGCTCATGAAGAGGTCGCCAGACCTCCTCCTCCACCATGCCACCCTCCAAGCCGCCTTTCAGCTTTATTTGTTCGCTTCTCCATTAGAATGTAAGCCTCCCGAGGGCAGGGACCGTCTTTCTTCTTGTATTTGTATTCCTAGCACATATCACAGCTCCTGGCACACAGCAAGGGCTTAATGAATGCTTACTTAATCAGTGCCTACACTTGAATCAAGAACACCTAGGGACTGAGAGCCTCCCGGGGAGACCTGGGAGGAAGCCTGGGTGAAGAGGCAGAATAGCCTCCTGGCCTCTGATTGGGTCACAGTTCTGGCCCCGCCCCATTCTGTCTCGGCCAATGGACGCAAGACATTGTTGGAAACGTGGGGGGCGGGGCGGAGCGGTGGTTGAGCGCATGCTCCACAGAGCTCTGGTTACCCACCGAGCCTGGGGGCGTCACAGAAACCTTTCGGACAATCCAAACGCTTTCGCTCGAGGCCGAGAGGAATCCGGGAGACCCACGTCACTGACGCCACCTTTTGGGGGTAAAAGATGGGTGGAGTGAGGGCCCCTCCGGAGCCTGCGCACTACTCTTCCCATAGTTTGCTGGGGAAGAGGAAGGCGGGAACCGGAAGTGCGCCACTCCGGAGCTCGTGCGCCACTCCGGAGCTCGTGCGCCACTCCGGAGCTCGTGCGCCCGGTGCTAGGGGCCCTCGCCCCGCGGTGGAGGGGGGCGGGCTGCAATGCTTCCCTCGTGCGCTTGAAGGCCCATGGCCGGGCGCCGCGAGGCGGCCCCTCCCCTCCCCCATCCCGGAAGTGGCGGTGATTTAGGCGTGGTCTGCAGGGGGGAGGCGGCGCACGTGCTCCCCCTGTACCCCTCGCACTCCCAGCTCCGCTTGAGGGGGGTGGCTCTGGTGCTGTTCAGGCCTGCCCAGCGCCCCCCGCCTTGCTTCACAGGTTACCGGCAGTCTCCTCCCAGGCCACGCCAGCTCTTTGTCTAAAACGAGATAATTTTGAGCCCCCAGAGCCCGGGGGGACCTCCCTGAATGCCAGCGCTGCGTGTGGCAGCGTCGCGGGCCGGGAGCGGCTCCTTCCCCTCTCACCCCGGACAGCCAGGAAAGAGTGAGTGTCCTCACGGCTCCTTCGCCCCGATTCGGGGTCCGGTCGGCTAGGCCGCGGGAGCCCGAATCTGCTCTCCGACCCGTATCTTTGTGTGCCCTCGGAGTGGCACACGGAGCAGCGATCGTCGGTACCACCCCCTGGCTCCTAAGCACGCCCGCTCCGCCTCGGAGAGTGAAGGGACCAGAGCTGACTCAGGCCACTCTGCACGTCCAGGGCGCTGGACTTGGAATTTCCAGACCTGGGCCAGTTCTGCCGTTTGGAATGAGGGGAAGCATCTTGGATAGCAAAGGGAAGTGTCTCAAGAAGCACCTGTCCGGGTCAGTGAGGGGAAACAGGTGCATAAGTCAGGACAAACAGTCTCACACCTGAAGGGTCATTCGGGGGGGAAAGGACTTTCCAGATGTTGGACCCAGGCAGCTGCCCTTCAAACTCCCAGGACCTGCCGGTCTGGCAAGAGAGCCTTCCTAGAGCCCCCTTCATCCCACTGAATCTTCTGTTCTATGTTCCGAATTAGTGTTCCGTGCTACCTGAAGTCTTTCTGGCCGTGTTTCTTTTGTTTTGCATTGTTTCGCAGATGCGTGTCCAGATTTCTGTGTGTTCCCTTAGTTAGCCAGCTGAAGAAGTAGGTGGTAGTAGGCCGTGGCATTAATTTGGTGCAAAGGATTGATATCTCCATCCTCTAGGTGCAGGTTGCTTCCAGTTTTTGCAGTTACACCTCAAGTGCTTTGATTTTCTTGGGCACCAGTGCTTTCTTTGTTCTTGGGAACTAAAGGTTTGGAAGCTCCCTTCACCAAAGCAGATTGGTGTATTACAAATAATGCTGCTTTGACAATTTTTGTCAAGATAGTCTTTTTTGGTTATTTATACCTGACATTGCAATTGAAATAATAGTTATTTTTTATAACTTTTATTGCCTACTGCCATGTTGCTTTCTGTTAAGCTTGAATTTAATTTCTTTCAGTTATTTCTGACAGTTTTTTGAGCATGCAGAACCTCAGAATTGTTCTAATGTATACCTCTTTCCATTTTGAAAATTGTGTTTATATTGTTAGCCATTTATCCGTTGTGGGCTGGGAGTCATCTTTATAAGATTTTAACACTTCAGTATATGTGTGTGTTTAGGTATACACACTCACACCCACTGTGTGTCTATGGGCATTATCAGTTATTTTCTCAAATTTTCTCAGGCAGCTAAGGCTCTTAAGTTAGAGATGTGTCGTGACTGGAATTGATGGAGGGACTAGCTCTCAACCTTATAAACTCATAGGTCTTTGAGATATTGCCATTATGTATTTTATATAGATGTGCCAGCAATAGCACTGATAGAATATGAATATTAAAATGGTGGGGCTTTGTTTCTCAAGGCAGTGTAGTCCACTTTCCTCCTATTTTTCAACTCTAGGCACAACTTATTATCCATCTTCTGTGTCTGTCCAAGATATAGATGAATTGGTGAATACGTTCTATACTTAGTCCATATGATTACATCTGCTGGCTCGGACAATAGATGGTCTTCATCCACTTGGTTTTCCCTGTGTGGATAGTTAGGCCAAACTCTAAATAATTACTACAGACAGCTAGATGGAACACTGGATAGAGAATTAGACCTGGAGCCAGGAAGACCTAAAGTTAAATCCAGCCTCAGACACTAGCATTGTGACCCTAGGCAAGTCACTTAACCTTTGTCTTCCTCAGTTTCCTCATCGGTAAAATGTGAAGAATAATAGCACCTATCTCCCAGGGTTGTCATGAAGATCAAAGAAGATAGTATTTGTAAAGTGCTTAGCATAGTGCCTGGCACATAGTAAGTGCTTAATAAATTATCATTTCTTTCCTTCCTTCCTTCCTTCTTTCCTTCCTTCCTTCCTTCCTTCCTTCCTTCCTTCCTTCCTTC